GAGAAACTTCTTTTTGGAAGGTGTTTATGGAATAGTCAGGCTTGGCATTAGCTAAACATCTGGTGGAAGGAAGCCAGATTATCCATGAAAAAATGAAAAGTGCTATAATGGTAACTTTTATAAGCAATTCTGCATCTATTCCTCTTCCGCAGAGAAATTTCAAGGAGGAGAGGATAACATTTCTGCGTTAGTCATGGCGTGGCCCTGCTTTTTGCTCTGAGAGTGGCTCCGTGGCGCTGGGCACAGCAGGCTGCTCTGCTTGCCGTTTGTAACGGGGAGAGTGCCCACTTCGTTCAGAGCTGAGAGGGGAACTATCGGGGCTGATAGACGCTCAAAACGTTTAGCAAAGCTCCTGTAATGACCGCACTTAATTCGGTGGAGAGCAACGATCGAAGCAGCACGGGGGCTATAGTAAATCCACCTCCCAAAGGTGGATAAATGATGCTGGGAAGGTAGAAGAGGGAGGAATAGCTGTCCTGAGAAGCACTGGTGATACAGATTTTCTGGGAAAACCTCCAGTTGTAAGCCTTAGCAAAATGCTGTTGTGGCTGTACGTGTAAATAGCTTCTGTAAGTAAATTAAAATTGCCAGTGCACTTTTTGCCATTACAATGATGCCTCTGTTACAGCCTTTGCTAGCAGAGTAACGCTATAAAATCCCCGTGTCCAACCAACAAATGCCAGCACAAATTCTCCCCCAAGGGAAGGTGAATTGAGAAATGGACTCCTGGTACCTCTGTGCCCTCTGCTCTGCTCAGGGACCATCGTCAGGGAGCACGGCCGGGCTTCTGCTTAGACACGGACGTTTGGTAGCGTACCTCACTCCTTGTCCCCGGAAAGAAAATATGACAGGCAGCGGAGTTAAGAAGTTGAAAGCAGGGATTAAAAGTCAGTGGACTCACTGGTTTGTTGTTTTTTTTTTCCCCTCTTCTTTCAAGTATTCTGCGTAAAGTCTGAAGAAGTCCTTTGCTGAGCTGTAAGAGCACACACAGTGAGCGCACACAGGGAGAGGCGAGACTTTGATCCTGCAGTGAAATCTCTTCTCCAGATTGTGCTCAAGATCACCGAGAAGGGGTGCCGCTGAAAGGAAGAAACGCTCTGCTTGAAGTCCCACAGAAAAAGTCCAACTCCAAATCTGCAACTGGAGAAAGCACTCTGCCCAGCGGTGGCCACGGGCAAGCCACGAGCTCGTTATCCCGTCTCATTTCCCTGCATGTCTTGAGGGGGGATGGCCAGTCTGTGCAATGGTTTCTCCTGTCAAGCATGAAACGAATCTTTAAATTGCTGAGCCGTAATGCAGCCAGCTACTTAATTTGTCAGGGTGACTCATGCGCGATGGTATTAAGACGTAGGGATTATGTTCCGATTTAGTTCCCGTGCTCTCCTACAGAAGTGGTCTCCTACAGGAGAGGAACTGGCAAGGCAGAGGTTGTTTTTACAACAGCAGTGGTTCTCTAGAGCTAAATGAGATACCAGCCTGTTCACAAAAGCTAAAGACTAAAGAGGATTATCCACAGCTTGTAATTCACAATGTTTGCCTATGGCAGTTTTCCTTGGGTTTCGGTATCTGTTTTATAACGATACAAAGACCCTGCAACAACTGAGAAGGTCCGAGCCACAGCTGCCAGCCTCAGAAACCACACCAGTCTTTCAGTATTGCCGTAGGAACGTCAGCCCTGAAACGTAACCCTTGTCTCTTGAGCCCCGATGCGTGGATTTGGCACCATTGGACCACTTATTTATTAAAGTTGAAAGGCCTCCAAAGAAAATGCGGTGGTTTATTATGGTTTGCTATGATGCAGATGATGTCTGCGTGGTTGGGTGAGACACCTCACGCGCTCCCATCTCAGGCTGATGTGGAATGGTGTGCGGGATCTGATGGGGAGAAAATGTAGTTCCTTAAAAGCCTTCTTCCTCAAAATCAGTTCAGAAAACTGTGCTTCAAGAAGGGACGCAGCCCACGCTCACGTCTCCAGGACTGGTAAGAGTGAGCAGAGAAGTGGAGCTGGGGGTGAGCGAGCCCTGGAGCAGGAGAAGGGGATGTCAGGTGCTTCCTGCTGCAAATGACTTGGCTGTATTTTTAGCAGAATCACTGAGACCATGGGTGGCCACCGTTCGTGTAGCTGAAACAACGAGTGGTTTGGAGCGTGCCTTAGGAGCTACAAGTTAATCTTCTCCCACACATGCATTTATTCCTGCTTCCGCGGGACTTTTACAACAGAGAAAATCTAGTGCACGTCAGGGATGTACACACACTGGGAGTGACAGTTGCTTGCCCCAGTGACTCTCTGCTCGCCCCAGCTTCTACTCGTCCCCTCTGGTCTCCTGACGTTTAAATGCTCTGCAAACAGCTTGTGTGGGTGGGGGACACCAGCGTCCCAGTGAGCCTGGAGCAGACACGGTGACAGCCACAGCCCGCACTGGCTCTGCATGGGCTCGCAGGCAGGCAAGGAAACAGGGAGATGCCCTCGTTACTGAATGGCGTGCTCGGCCCTCACTGGGCCAAGAAATTGTCATCCTTGGTGACTAAATCAGCACCTGAAGAAGCTCCCACTTTCTGGGAAGGGCTGTAAACTGGGGATTTTTTGCTGGGGGCAAAGGGCGAGGTCTGTTTTCAGTGATGTGTGGTGCTATTACGCCTACAAGGGATTCATCTCGGAACCAGAGGGAGCCATTAAATTATTAGGGGAAGATGAGCAGCAGTAAAAGATCCTTGGCACAGTCATAGCTGCAGCTAGAGAGCTCCCAGAAAGTTCTGGCCGTTAGCTGAGTGTGCAGCCAAAACAATAAAATACAAGATTTATTGCTCCCCTTGCTAAGCAGGGAGGTGGATTATACCAATTACATTTTCCTGCTGTAAGGCTCCTCCACCACCAAAATCTGAATTTGAAAGTCATGGAGCCGAAGCAGGCAGGGTGGGAGCTGGATGCGGAGAATCTTCCCTTCTCTTACTGGGAGTCTGAGCATGATCCCCCCCCCTTGCAGCCCTCCAGAAGAGCTACTTGTAGAGAGGGGTAAATCCGTTCTAAGCTTTGTAAAGTTCCTGAAGTACTTTACAGCCAGTGATCTCATTACGCTGGAAGATATCCAGGGACTGTTACGGGAACTTTCATCACTGTTATTAGCATCTTGTCCTGAAACACCTTACGTTTTTTTCTTTGCAACGAGTGAGTATGTACGTGTGAGTGCGTTCACTGATGCACTGTCCTTTCAGGACTCGTTTTCAGGCGTGCAGGTATTTCTGGTGCTCAACCAAAATTGCCAGACCCTGTGTTGTCTGAAGATAATGCAAGGAGAAATGCCATCTCCCCTGGGTCCGTGTAGCTCTTTCCTCACATTAGATAGGCAGCCAAGTGAGCAATTCACTTCCTGTTTTCAATTTGAGACGCATTAGAAAAAGTAGTTTTGGCACCGGTGGCGTGGCTCTCAGATGGAGCTGGGGAGCCTTGGCTGGCTGCCGGAAAGCAGCAGCTCTGCACCCAGAGGGTGAGCAACCACTTTTGGTAGAACTGGCTGCACTGGTGGCCTCTCTGGTCGATGCTGTTCCTTCATAGAAAAAGTGAGTTTGATTATGTCTCCGCAGTGCTGTAGAGGATTAGTGCAGAAAAGAATCAGCTCCGAAGCGGAGCTGAAAAGCAGCTGCTGAATACAGTCAAGGAGAAAACCACTTAAACCCTCCTTGCTTCTCACCCCTCTGCTGGCACCAGCACAGCAGACCAGACGATGCACAGGTAGGTGCATCCGGCAGCGTAAGGACCGGCCTTACCAGTCCTAATACCCCGCGTGCTACTTGACGGAACCTCCGCTGGAACTCCCCTTCCATCCCTGTTCAGCTGTCACCACATTTAACTACAGAGACAGGGCAGGGTGGCTGTGCTGTACAGCCAAAGCAAAGTTAACCTGCTCTTTAAATGTGCCTTATTTAAGCTTTCGGGGACAAAAGCGGTGACACTGTGTCTGTACTGAACTCAGCAGCTTAAGCCCCTTAATACTAAATTATTAGTTGTATATTTAGCAGTGTTTGTGCTAGTAGTGACAATTCACTGGCTGGGAAAATAGTAAGTTCAATAAATAACCAGTGAAGGAGGAACGCACTTTGAGTGCTACATTGGTAACCTGGGGCAGGGTGAAGTGCAGCACCAGTACCTTGTTCCGCTACCGTGCTTTGTTTGACTGCCACAACCAGAACGTACTTAATTATATTAAGGTAGCTCTGCTTGGAGACATGTTAGCTCACATCCGATATGGAGGTGGTCAAATTTAATTTAGATTTACTTTCGCTCTGCATTTCACACTTTATTGCTCAGCTGCGCTGGCAAGGTGGTTTCCAAAGCTGAACAGACAGGAAAGCGTGATGCTGTAGCTTTTTGGCATGCTGAAACTACAGTAAGATGTTACCTAGCCTGGACAAGCCAGAACTGAAAAGGGAACTCAAATGTCGAGCATCCCAGATTTTGGTAATTTTTTTAAAGGAAATATCCAAAATAAATAACTGGCACCTTTAAGAAATGGGTAATATTTTTCCTGTATGTGTTTGGTGAAAATATCTTCCTTACCCACAGCACATAAACACCACCCAGGAGTGGCTCCCACTCAGCATGCCTCAATTAGAACTTCATTAAATGCTTTATTTTGTGCAAAATTTTTTCTTCTTGGTCTCGGTAAGACCACCACTAATGACCAGCCTTGAAGTGTAATCGTTAACAATGGGATTCCATTTTTGTTTCTCCTGCCGTCAGGTCCCGGTACCACTGACAAAGCAGTTTTGTTGAGTGAACTAGACAGAGCTTATTGCTCTGGACTGCCACAGTCCTCTCTTCTACCTTGGTTATACAACAGGTAAGAGTTCTTGGGTTAAAGTAAATTTTAAAGCTTTATTGGTCTAAATAAAACAGTACAAAACATTCTTACAATAGGACCCGGTTATTTTTCTGCAATGTAGTAAAACCAAGGGAACAGGCTCTTTGCACGCAGAATTCAGGACACGTGCGGAGCTGCTGACCTTCACCTTCCAGACCGCGGGCTTCTGCTCAGGGAAACGTCTAACTTGCTGCAGGGGCTGCGGTCTTCTGACACAGCCTGGCCAGCAGTCCAGCCATTTGTAACAGTGAGTTCACACCTTCCGCTATCTTCATATGAGTGTACCCGATTTCCTGGGGATAAAGACATTGCAAAATCTCCTGGTTTCTCCCCCGATCTGTGTATAGTATGACTAACAACTAAATAGAACATATCCCTTCCTGCTAAAAGACCAACTTCAGAGTCACTTGAACTTAAGAGAAGCATATCTTCTCACGTAGACCAACCAAATGCCTTTTTCATTTTTAAAATCAAAGCCTGTATTTCTCCACTTCCCTTCTAAGGAGCAAGATGCATGCATTTGAGGACAGGTTTTACATTTGAAGAGTTATTCCATTACACTAGTTTACCACTTGTTGACTTGCTGTTAATATAATTTAATATTTTACTCTCTCTTGGAAGTATGCGCCTGAAGAAAGTTGTCAAGGAGTTATTTGAGGCTTTGATGTAAATAATAAATTCAGTCAGCATTACGTTTATTAATTCTAGCTGATTGCTCAAGTGACTTATGGTATTTCTATGGGTGGTTAGACTTTAAGCTTTAAGTGACTATTCTTATTGACAAACTGATGATGCAGAGTGGGAAAGAAAGTAATAAGAAATACTTTTTTGCACTAACATACAGCAAATCTCAAACAGAAAACCCTGAGGCTGCCCTGCATCACATCCTCATCTTAAAAAGGCCCAAAAGACCCCAGCAGGAGCTAGGTTAGTACTAACCTTGATAAATTCCAGTTTCAGATATTCTGGCATTTGAAAGGTTTTACACACACGGAAGATGTTGCCAATCACATCTTCTGGAGAGTATCCAAGTCGCCACAGGTGGGCAAGAATCTGTGCAGGCAAGAATAATCCCTCATTTATCTGCAAAACTTATGAGGTGAGTCAGGCATATTCACTTTTAGAACAGCTGTATATAACTATGGGAACTGCATGTACTAATTATCAAATGATTAACCTCTTAATTCTTTAGCAAGTAATTTCAATACAACTTGGTTTTTTGCTTCTTGGCTTATTCATCTGAACAGACCCCTGCATAAAAAGGATTTAATTCATCAACTCATCTGCATGGTACTGCCCTTACCTTAAAAAAAACCACACACACTGTGAATTCTTCAAAACAAACAAGGATTCTGTAGAGAAAGTGTCTGTCTACGCAGACACAACACATGAAAACCAACCTTGTACGCTTCATCAATATTTGCATTTATGCAGTGTTGTATCATTTCTTTCACAAGCAGAGGATGAGGCTCATCACATACCTACAGCAAAGTGAAATATTACACTTCAAAATATTAGAAGACTCTGCATTAAATCCCCGGTATTTTCACCAAGCTTCGATACTGCTGAAGTACTGAATCAGACACGCTCTCTAATACAGATTAAATTTTAAGTAATGCGACTTTCCTAGTAACACAGTCATCCTGCCATGGCAGGCTCAATAGCATGAAATGAGAACACTCAAGTAATAGATTCAAAAGTTATCACTGTGAAATTTCCCAGCAGTTATGTGATTCATGAGCTTTGAGAGAGCTGGAAAGCCACAAAGTCTCAGACGTGCCATTAGGGACCGACCGCTAGCGCTCTCGCCCTTTTCCAAAGGCACGTGCACTTTTTTACAGCCCAATGCTGTAATTGCTACATACACAGTGCTGTCTGCAAACTGGCAAAGCACCTTCAAAGGCTTCGCCATCGGACCAAAGGTCTCTCATAGCTGCAGTGCTAAACTTCTAGCACAACTGTTTTACGCTATTACCAACCTTGAAGACGTTTTCACTGTTTATAAAGCCAAATCCAGAATATGTGGACTGTAAGTTGTTTAATGCCTGTGAAAGAAAAAAAATAAGACTTCCTTTATTTTCGGAAGTGCTCTACTTCTCACTCCCCTCCTCAGGATGAAATACACTTTTCAGAAAATATGCCAAATAAGCAGTTTTCAATTAAGCAACAGAGTAAACTGCAAATGTATGCAGACTTTGTTTCCTCCCACAGAGGTATCCAGTTCCCACCAATTCACTTTTAAGGAGCAGATCCACCTTAAAACCTCACAAAACCAAATAATTTAGTTACTCCTGTGCCACAGGTCACATCCCCTTTGCTTTACCTCTCCAAAGATAAATCCATGAGAGCCACAATTCAAAGATTTTTTTGCTTTAAACAGAAGCCTTTGTTTCATTGCCTTTCTTCTTTTACCTGTCTCATATCTCCTTGGGCTGTGAAGATAATGGCTTCTAGTCCATCATCTGTGTACGGTACATCCTCTTTCTCAACAATTTTCAGTAGCCTTGAAAGGATTTGTGAATCTGTCAGCTTGGTGTAACGGAGCACTGCACACCGGGACTGGATAGGTTCTAAGGATAGAGATGTGTAATTAGCGTTTCCCTCTTCTCTTAAAAAAAACCCCAAACAAATATTTGTTTTCATCTTGGAAGAAAATATCTCAGTTTCCAAATCTTCGTTTGTCGTCTCTTAAAGACAAAGAACATGTCAGCTCCAGACAGAATATAGCATCTCCTTCAGCATATATAACTGATACAGTCCTTCACTTGAGCCCAAATGTGCTACGTGAGTTTTCCCAGATATATGCAAATATATATGAAGCTCAGCTTCTTCTGTTCTCCTGGTTTACTGAATGTATATGTTTGTCATTGCTAAACAAGAAAAGTCTAAAGGTCTACAGTGTGTTAGCCTATAGTCAAACTTTTATGTTTTGGAAAGCAGGAAAACAAAAGGGGTTCAGCACCCATTACACAATACATCAAACATCTTAAACTGTAGCAGTTGGGTGGAGATTAAGCCCAAAGTATGAGAAAACTGCTTCTGCAGTCATGCCTAGCACTGTCTATCAAAACCAGCTGTTCAGAGGGTTCACCGGCTACACAAATACACTCTTCTTTTATTAGCTGGATGTACAGGTGGTTTGATTTTTCACAAGTACCATGGTTTCTTGCAATGAGCAGGTCCAAGGTATTTCTGAAAACTGCCTTGAAAGTTAGCCAACAGTATGGAGAACATATGACAAAAACTCCCAGAGACTAGCAGCACTTTACCTATGATTTTGTCAGAGGCATTGCAGGCAAGTGCGAAGCGCGTTGTTTTGGAATAAATTTCCATTGTTCTTCTCAATGCTTGCTGTGCTCCATCTGTCATGCTGGGGGAGAAAAGAGTTAGGACAGATTTTGCCCTTCACTGACTTAGAGCTGCAGCCTAATAACTAGTTTTATTCAAGCTTCAGAGTTTACTGATATTAAACAGTGCTTTTTAAATTACTTGATGTTCTGGCTTGATAAACTAAGCAGCTTTTTCTAGTCATGTGAACATATCACCCTGTAACGCAGGTAGTCACCGAGAGCTCCATAAAACTAACACACAAAATTAAGCCATTAATACTCTGAAGAATACTGCTAAGAATGCTACTACTTATATACAGATAGAGGAGAAAGTCCTGTTTTCGTCCAGTGAAATTGTCTACGTAAGCTAGACTCTTTTCAAAGAGAAAGAACCAGTACACTAGATGATGCTATTTCATACCCAGCTAAATCACAAGGTGTTTCACCCCAATATTCAGCACCTCCTTTGAAGCAATGATCTCTGCTTGATGTGAGTAATCTCACCAGAACACTGTTCAATGCATATTTATTTCCTAACAAATTATTTTTGATAGCCTGATAGAAACATCTAAGACTGTCCAAGACAGCAGCTCTGCAGACAGGACAGATACAATGCATTTCAGATGGTAGCTGAGGTTAGAAAACAACAACATACCTGTCTGCTTCATCAAGGATGATTATTTTATGCCGACCTTTTGGAAGTGTGACCTTTTGCTGGGCAAACATTTTGATTTTGTTTCTCACAACATCAATGCCTCTGGAACAATAATTCAAGCGATTCATGATCAGTTGGGTGAAATCACATAATAGACTTTATTCAGCAGCCACAGTGGCTGAAATGTTCCTGAGCTCCCTATTCTCCCACTGTTTGTTCCTGCCCCTTCAGCTGTGCCAGCATAAATGTTGTGAAGCCATGTTATAAGCCCGGCTGCCTAACCGATTCAGATTTAAACACCAACACTCCTCCTTTTTGGAGGTTTTGAAAAAATAATTGAACAGCATCAGTGTGTGTATATATATATATCAGTAACCTCACTTACAATACTGCCATAAAAGGCCTTATGTTTGGCAAAAGGTGGGAATGAGCAAAGGCAGAAGCATTTAAGACTGCTTTGCTATTTTGTCGGTGCTTCACACAGCTACATCCACAGACTCAACTATAATTCAGAAGAGTTTAAGAAAAACAGCTGGATAGACTGCATCATTTTAGCACAAGACAGACACTTTCCAAGACAGAGTTCCAGAAAAGACTTGCTTTTAAGAAGAAAGGATTTTACTTTTTTGTTCTGTTCAGAAAATGAATGTTGTGAGTCTATAGCTCTTCTTATAGCTGATATTAACAAAGGCAGGTACAATGTATTGTACTCATCAACAACTCTCCAGGAGATGTTCTGAGAATACTTCAGGATGGGTCTGCTACAGAACGTGGGAAACATAATCAGCCCTTAGTGCCTGATCCTTGGAGGACAGTCAGTGTCCTTTACATACCTAATACCCTTATCCTACATTTTAATCCCCAACAGCACTTACAGTGCTAATTTCTATCACTTTGCTTTTTTCCTTAGGCATTGAAGAGTTCCGTTATAAACAACTTGTTCACTTTTCATTCTTAGGAGGATCTTCATGAATGCAGGAAGCTTAGCTCTTTAAAGTAAATTCAAGAAAACAGTACCATTACAGATTCTGTGCTCCATGTTTGTATTTTTATGTATGAATGTATCTATCAAGTTTATAAAACATCAAGTAATAATATCCATGTTGGTAGGTGGACACCAAAGATTTCCTAACTTTTAGTTGGAAAATCTGCATTAAAATAAGTACTACAGGCCTTACTGTAGCATTAAGCCCATTACGCTGGCCTGAGTTGAACTAAAAATAAAAATGGATACTTGCTCTTTCATTAAAAGTTTGAGAGGGTTTCTTCATTCTCACCTGTCATTTGAGGCATTCAGCTCCAAAACAGCATCCTTTAATGCAGGACCAAGCAAAGCACGAGCCAAGCAGAGGATACTAGTGGTTTTACCAGTTCCTGGGGGACCCTAAAAATGCAAAATGCAACAATTGCTGGTTAAGTTTTATGTCCTTTTCTAAGCTGTAGTCTTTACAACACGCCCCAGTCATGGAAAACAGCTGCAACAGAGGAACTGCAGAGACAACATCAGACTAGAGGTTGCCTGAGTTCAGGATCCTGCCTCCAACTGAGGAGAGAAATGATGCAGGGAGAAGCACAAGACATGTTTCAATAGGCACCTCAAGGCCCAGTCAGTTTTTAACAGAAAGCTGTTCACTGCTTGTGTATTCTGCCAAGAACACTGCTCTGTGACCATACACTCAACATCCCTCTTACCAATACCTTCAGGCACAATGCAGCCTGCTGTGGCTAGATTTCAGAAGCCAGGACCAACATAGTGAAGAAATACAGTACAACACAGCAATACTTACAGCAATTATAATATTTGGTACGTTCCCCTCTTTTGCAAAGACCTAAGAAAGAACAATAATAAAAAATGATATAAGAATACAGTGGGAACAAATAGTTTCCAATCCCATTAAATTTTAAGCATGAGAAACAAAGCAAACCTGTTCTTTTCTCCCCTCCTGCTTTTACTTTTTTTGGACCTTGTTGCTTTTGTATTTTTTTTTACTTGAACCAGTCAGGCCCTAGAATAATATAGAAAAACTTCAAAGCACTTAATCCCACAGGTCTTTAGTACTCTTGCCTTTCCCTTACACCTGTTATATGTTTGCTAGTTTAAGCTTTCCGTTAACATACTGTGTTTATGAACTAATTTGTCAAGGAAAGTATTTTTCTTCCAGAAAAACTTTATGTTTCTTTGTGTTATTATATAAATTAAATTTATTCATTGAAACAATAGTATTACAACAGCTACAATTTTTCTAAGTTGTAACAAAACAGGGCCAATTCAAACAATATCCCAATTCAAGAAAGCATATTTCCTTAGAACACCAATCAAACATGTCCTAAAATGTGTAATTTCATAAGTAAATCAGAAAGGCTTCTTCCACGTACTCAAGTATGGATGTAAAAACAAAAAAAGTGCTTTTACTGATCTGTAGATCTATGCAGAGTTATGTTTTTTGGGTTAACCCATAAAAGATAAAGGGACAGTTACACACCTCCAACCTGCTCACAGTATCTTCATTTCCAACTATTTCACATAATTTCATGGGTCTGTATTTTTCCACCCTGTAAAGGTAAAACCCCACACACTTCAGCACGCCTAATAAAACTTTAATAGTGCTTTATGCTGACAGAAAAGGAGGATTATGTTATGGTAACATGGGATAAAGATGACTTTGTGTGTCTTTAGTGTGAACATTGCAGGCTGCCCCCTGACTGCCAAGTGCAGGATTCCACAGCATTAATTCCTTAATGATTGTTTTACCTCGATTAGTATAAAAAAAAGGAAAAAGGAAGAAAAAACCGCTCAACTTGGACACGAGTTTGGTGCCTCAGTCTGATATCAGGGCTATGAGGAGATGCCGCCCTGTGCCCTCTTATGGTTGACACAAGGCAGGGCTGACTTTGGGCTCCACAGGGCCTTCTGCTTTCCACTCATGGCCGCCCGGTGCCCTCTCCCCACGCCACAGGCCCCAGTCTGGGCAGGGTGCAGGATGCAGGCAGAGTCCTCCCCGCTGCTACGACCCCCTCGCTTCCGAGTCAGACCCAGTGTCTGCAGCTCGGGCGGCACAGAGGGAAGCCCTCAGCACCCAGGCCTGGCCGGGGCCGCCCCGCAGAGGGAGGCAGAGCGGG